CAGTGATAGAAGCTCTTCGTGCAGCTGTTGTTTCTGACTGTCCGACAACGAGCTCTCTAGAGATGTGTTGAACAATTTGAGACATATAGTGAATCTCGGCGGATATCCGTGATAGGGCGTGCAAGAGTGCTCGATACATGTTGAGATTGGTTGTTGATTTGGACGCTCCCATGTCTTATCAGTCAATCCAGCGCATCGAACTTCAACAGCCTGTGGCTGATTGTTTGAACCGTTCAAAGCCATCGGTCGATCAACAGCCCTGCGAAGGCTTGCCGTCGCTTCCTTACAAGATGCTATTTAAAATAAACAAATCATCAAAAGCTTTAGTATCCGATGATGACCAAGTCCAACGATCAAAACACCTACATGTACGCCAATGCGATTGAGCAGCGTGAATGCTCCCTCGTATCATTTTGACTACCTTGCCGCAGTGGCATCGTAACCTTCGATCGGGTCCGTCCTTCTCAAAAATACACTGAGGACAGCTTTCGCCATCGTCCGTTTTCAAAGGACAGCTGTTACGCTGTTTTGATTCTTTGTCGGAAGCTCGCTGAACAGACAACCTCTCTTTGGCGGTATTCGAAGCCAAAGAAGTTGAGGCCGAAGATGTTGACATGGCTTGATCAGAGTTCTCTTGTTCAGAGCGTTCGGAACGTAGTGTCTGATAATAAATTATACAAGTTGATAAAAGTTTATATCCTTTGATATATCTTTGAAACAATTTGCCTCTCGCTTCCCGCTGCCTCTCGCTATCTTTCTCAAGCTGTGTCTTCCCCTTTCGCAAGCTCTCGCATCCAAGTTCATGCTGACATGTCACAGTGTCCAAGCATCTGTCAAACAATGGAAAGGGTGGCAATAATCGAAGGCAGAAACTGAGAGAAGATGGCAGAAAACACGAGAGCTCTCTATAATCACATGAAGCGTGATTCCGCGGGAGCTCAAAAGTCACATTTCTGTGTGACTACCCCTTATAGCAGCATACCGGGGTCCTGAGGTAGCCTGGTGCAACTCTTCAGTAAGTGTAGAAAAATCAAGTCCACAAAAGACAGTTGATGTGTGGATGGACACTCTGAAAGTCAATCTTGATGTTATTAGATGATGCAACAAAATTTGTGATCCAGGGGGTCAAAATCTTGAAATAGCGCTTCATGATGGCTTCACAATAGTTGAGAGATCACGGATTGGATTTTGGAAAATTGGGAGTGTAACTGAAACAAAAGTTTGGGTGTTTGGTGAATATGCCTTGTGGAGACAAGAAGGAAGATGTTATCAAGAACACGTGATGAGATTCGTGAGTTACGAAGTTGATATTCAATGGTTTGTAACGGTAAAGTCAAAGGAAGAAGATGGATCTGGCTTTCGCATGTCTATGGCAAGTTACATAGTATCAGTGGTAATCAGACCAGACTTTTTGAAGATTTGAATTTCCCAAAGCGATAGGTTCACTACAGGACAACGGAAGGATGGTTTATGGCGTTTCAAGTTTCTGATCAACTTGAGGACTTATCTTACTTCAGCCTCCAAATATTGATTTTTTCAGTCCAAGGTGCATGACGGGGAAATAGTCAAAGCTAATTGTAGTCGTTGAAAGTATGGTTAGAATCAATCATCTTCAGTAAGCATATATAATATTTGAAGAACGACTTGATGGAGTACTGCAATCATTAAGAATGGGTCGAATCGAGACAAAAGCAAAAAAATTCTTGAAAAGAAATGAAGATTATAAGATACAGCGCGTATCGCATCCCTTGATGAAGATTTGTGGTCACAGTCAGAAGGAGTTGTGTTTGGTCAATTGATGACAAGTTTGATATGATAATGATGCCAAACTTCATACACGTCCCTCTTAGTCATTTCTCTCCAATTGGGTCGATCAACGCTCCCCTCCCAAGGAATATCTCCACTAAGATGCAAGCTCAAGAGCTCAGGCCATGTACATGTAGACAAAAGTTGCTTAACCGAGTGCCATTGATCATTTCTGAGAGGACGATCATATTTAATCATTTCTATATCTTTACAGCCTTGAAAGCTTAGGAGGAGTCTGAAGCTTGTTGAATCACATAGGATGAGACGTTGAAGAGCATGGACATCAGTCTGACCGTTGACATCTGAATCGTCTTCCCAATCCATAAGCGTGATCTGAAGTGTAGTAAGAAAGGGAGCAGAACCGCTGAGTAGTTTCTGAACCATACCAGGTGTCAATCCGGGACAATACTCAAGGTCAAGAGTTGTGAGCCGTTGAGGCCAAGAGTTCAAAGTCCAAGTTTGATCTTCGCAAGTGACGTTTTCAAGACGTAATTTTCGAAGGTTCCGGTGCTGAGCGAGCTTCCATCCCAAAGATTTTTCTGTGGATGCTGTGGGACCGAATTTGAAGTCAATGATCTCCAATGACACGAGAGACGGTATGTGGTTGTGAATATCAATGACAAATACGCCTGGAAGCTTGGCGCATTCAGAGTCCCTAAGTGTTAAATGTTGAAGTTGAGGGACAAGACCAAATGACCATTTCAAGCCGGATATGATGGAACCAAACAAATCTGGTTCATCTGAATAGTCTGGAATATCAATTGCTACCGACGCTAGACAAGGACAGGCTCTGAAGATCTTTTTAATGCTCCGTACTCCAATTCCTTGTCTCGACATGTCCACAAAATAGCTTCTACCGGCTGATGTATTATCTTGATGACTCCTTTCAAGCGTTGAAAGCTCTTCATTCTCAATATTAGTCAGATCTTCCAATCCCAATTCCAAAGATTTGACTAGGTGACCGTGTCTTGAAAGGATGTCCTCTGTCCAAAGTGACACAGGAGCAGGAAGGGCGCTCGGAAATCGGATGTGCTAATACGGACATTGGATCAATGGATACAATCAGATAAGCACATGGAGCTGTCAAGGTATGTGAATCAAAGCTGGACTTCAGGCAAAAAAATGGTCGTACCTGCCACAACTTAGGAAGACAAAGCCTATGAAACTTTCGATTGACCACCGCCAAGTTTTGAAAGGTATTAAGAATTGGCGGACAACCGTGATTCACGTATACTTGACGTCCCTGATCTTGTTGCTTTATACGTTCCTCTTTTCGGTGTCTTATGTCGTTTTTATCTCCAGAAAACTTGTAGTAAACTATGCTCACAATGTTGTCTAAAATTTCTTCTGGAAAATCGACACGACTCATTATACATCGAGCTGAAGTATTTAATCGGAACCGATCCGCCAAGGCTTGAAAGGCGTCTCCAGCAGACCCATCAATGTTGAGGACATGTTGAAGGTCTTCGTCAATTGACCAGAATATGAGATGAAAGATTGCTCGATTGAACTTTGGATCGAGTGTATGTAACTCGCGTAGGAAGTATTCAGATGTTCCAGTGAGAGTGCATATCATAGCTTTTAGATGTCTTTCCCAGACACTAAAGTTGTCGCCAGTCTTATTAAGCCGGCGGATACGCTTTGAAACCTCGTGAATTCCGCATATAAAATCAGGGCTACAAGCCTCCGTTGCGATCACAGGTTTGTAATTGTTGGGCAAAGATTGGGCGTCCATAACGCGAGCTTTCAATGTTCGATCTTTTGTGATCGTGCGACGACGAAGATGAGCTCAGATGTGTTGAATTGGATGAGTAAAGAGAGGTAAAGAGCCAGCAGCGCCTTAGCTTAACAAAGCCCTCTCTGCGCGGCCACGTCTGCGCGCCTCGCAGAGGGGCTTACGACAAATCATCGATTTTCGGCGTGAACACTCCGAGCGTTAAGTGTCCTTATGTTGTTTTGTGCAATTTGACGCTTCCCTCACTAACAAACATCGCTTTACCCTGCAGGGAAAGTGGTTTGTAAATGCTTTCTACATGTCGTCAGGGCCTAACACCATGGATACTCTGAGTGATGCGGCCACAAAAGAGGTTTGAAGATTTGCACTAATCCTGCCTGTACCGCGGGCTTTTGGGTTAATTTTTGACTTTCAGACATAAAGGTCTTGATTTTTCGATTTCTTGGATTTCAAGCCTTTTGAAATCTACTGTACTAGTGAGACATAAGGGCTTCACAATCAAGCTCAAAAAAAGCATGATGAAGCAGGTTTTCCCAGATGATGAATAGATGAAAATATGTAGACAACATTGGTGAACCACTTTCCCTGCGAGGTGAAGTGGTGTTTGTTTGTGAGGGAAGCGTTGAAATGCAAAAAACAACATAAGGACACTACACGCTTGGAGTGTTCACGCCAAAAATCGATGATTAGTCATAAGCCCCTCTGTGAGGCGCGCGGACGTGGCCGTGCAGAGAGGGCTTTGTTAAGCTAAAGCAACACCAGAGGATTTGAAGGGCCGTGAACTTTTCTGGCCGGCCCGCGGGCTGCTAGCCATTTCACAGTATTTGAATGTCACTGTGTGTCACACACCTTAATCCTCCCAACCGCAAGATACTGAGGATGATGAAATACATTTCCAAATCCTTTTGTGTTGCTTCAATCCTTCACTCCTTTAAGAAAAAAAAACACGTATTGATGATGGCAATTGGGATTGCAGAGGATTCATCATCTGAGAATGGTGGAAGGATTTATCCATACTCAATATTGATCTATGTCTTCTTTCAACAATATCTCAACATCCAATCCACTTTGTTGAATGGATCTTCCTTGCACTTGCTGATAAGGTACCATTAGTAATACCTTTTACGAGTACACTATTGGTTTTGCTTGAAAATGGTACATCAAAACAACCTTGACTTGTGAGGTTGATACTGGTGTAGGGGATGATCAACGATGTTTGATGAATGACCTTTGCCATCCTCCCCATAACGGGATTTTATGTGAGCTTGTCAATACGCTTTGATACATGGCAGCACTTTTGGGTATATTGCAATGATATTATATATGAAATGCTATGAAATGTACAGTGTTGTCACATGTACTGGCCAGCGTCCCGCGGGCCGCAAGCCGACTTGAACATTTTCACAGCCCTTCGAATGCTCTCAGCAACGCGGGGTTAACCGTTTTGGATAACTAAACTAAGTCCCGGGGAGTTTCTGTCTTTTACCACAAATTTGCAACTTGTCACGTGACCCGGTCTGTGACTGCGCAAGTAGTCGTCCAAAATTTGACAACTCATTATCCTAACTTTTCCAACACCAAAAAACCTCAATCTTTCCGTGAAAACGGGCGCCATGGACATCAAAGACACGTTGGACACGGGCCAGACGGAGCAGGGACCTGAGAAGATTGCTACACCAACTCGAAAGGTGTCAAACACGTTTATCAATCCCGTAGGTCCCCAAGAAGCGGCCAAAACTACCACCCCCACCCCTCTTGTCTTTGAAAAAGAAAAGCCAAGTCAAGGACTATCCCAACGACCACCAATCCAATCTTCCGACCTGGGAAACTTCTCAAAGAAGAGAACCAGGCTCGACACCCCCGGCACAATTGCTGAATCCCAAGCAGCAGAGTTAACAGGAACACCACAATCAAATCGCATGGACAATCTGTTCCCAGGAGCTCCCGAACACAAATCTCTCAAGGAGATGGTAGGGAAACTCCTGGAGGTGATCAAGGCAGGATTCCCTCTGGCCAACAAGTCGAGAGCAACTGAAAATATCTCAGTCAACGTGGAATCTGCCACGGACATCCTGGTCTTAACAGGCGCGGTTTACGACCAAGTCCTTTGTGAAGATGCACGTCGCAACTACACCACACCCGAATCCTTGACAGGATCCCAGAAAAAGGGGCGCTCGATTATCTTCAAAGGTAGAGAGACCAAAGATAAACTCGACGTCATAGTGGAAGAACTTGCAGCACTAAGATCAGCAATAGGACAGAAGCACATTCCTGTACCTTCAAAAATGACCCAACCAACCACCTTGTACGCATTGGCAGCATCCAAACATGCTCCCGCGAACAACACCAACACCACAAGCACAACAACTAGCAAAGCTAAGGTGTCTCCACACAAACAGTCCAACTGGACACAACCTACCAACGTAATAAAGAGCAGGTGCCAAAATAACACACCTGAACCTATCAAGCGCCAAGCTGATCCAAGAACTTAATGTTGCTTTCAGGGCTTACCAAATTAAGATGAATCCCAAAGACACAGACACGATAGAGATAAAAGGTGTTTGTTGCCACCCATCAAACAACTTGGACATCTACTTTGAAATGGCAGCACAAGCCGCCAAAGTAAGATCCCCTCTCAAATTATGGGTAGAAGGATTTTCAAAAAACATGAAAATGAAAGAAGCCCATCACAAAATTATTGTGAACGGCATCCCAACAATGTTTGACCCTGGATCACAGGACCACAGGGAAGAGTTACAAATGAGTAACAACAAGCTACTAAAAGGCATAACTTTTGTATGCTGGCTCAACCCAAAAGTGTTAGAAGACCCGTCAAAACGGCACTCGTCGATTCTGATTGGCCTGAGCAGCGAAGAGGAAGTTCAGCAATGCGTAAACCAACAGATATGGCATGGTAGAGGCAAACACCTAACCTTTAGGAGTGGGCCACCACCACAGCGCTGTTACAACTGCCAAAAATCAGGTCATACAGCTTCTTCATGTCCAATTGACCCCCTCTTCCCATACTGCGGCGAAAATCACCACACACACACACCTGCCCTCAAAGGGGGAAAACCGACATAAAATGCACGGCATGTGTACGACATATGATCAAGCTAGACTCCTCAAAGGACATCAAGTCTTTATTCAAATCCAACCACACTGACTTTGTCCACCACCCCTTCAGCCCATCTTGCCCAACACGTATTGCAGCAAGTAAACCCCCCCACATCCTAGTAGCTCACCGTATGTGGTAATCATTGAAGAAAACAGAATGGATTCTTCTCAATGATAGAACAACGGTTGAGAGAAATAATACAAACAAAAGACACGGCCGCAATACTACAATTGAATTGCCGCCACTCATCACACATAACACACTCCCTCTTTAACCACAAAATGACTAATAAACCCTCTATCCTGGCGCTCCAAGAGCCTTACGTAAACAGGACTGACTACTTACCACCCAACCAAACCAACTGGACACTAATCTCACCCGTCCCAGCCTAAAGAACCAAAAACGCAAGACCAAGAGCCTGCATTTACATCTGCAAGGACTTAAAAGCGGAAATCAACCCAATAGCATCACCATCACACAACATAGCAACATGCACTGTCACTATCAAGAACACCACCTTCCTCATATCCAGTATCTACAACCCATCCAAAACCCTAAAGGGTTTTGAAGCGTGGGAAGAACTGATGACCTCCTTACCCAGCAAACTACAACTCTTACCATCCTTTGTAGGCATGGACTCCAACTTACACTTGTCAGCATGGAGCCCAACACATAGCAACCACCATGAAGCCCTAGCCAACCAACTGGTGGACCTCATGACCAATTGGGGCCACTTCCTACAATCACCTTCAGACATTTGGTCTAGGCTCATTGACCACAAAAGGCACCACCATCGGTATGGTATGGGTGAATGAAGCCTTTGACAACACTATCTGTACATGCTTTGTAGATAGTGACCACATTACCAACCATCTATCAGATCACCAATTGCTCATCACCACCTTTGACACCATTAGGAAGGAGGAACCACAGGGCATGGCTGGCAACAAGGGAGTGAGGAAAAACTGGCACAAAGATGAGGTTGCCAATCTCCCATCAGAACTAACCAACACCCTCCCTAAATTAAAATAACTGACAACACAGGACAACATCAACAAATTTGACAGAGAACTTCAAAAGGCAATTACGAATGCTCTGGACAATAACTTGCCCAACAAAGCCCCGCTCGGCAAACACAAGCATTGGTGGAATCCGGAGATCCTCGACCCCCTCAGGAAAAGCGCTAAAAAGCTCCACCACTGACTCAAAACACACAACACTGAAGAAAACAGGTTGGAATACAGGAAAACCTGAAATCAATTCAACAAGGCAATGGACAAACAAAAAGAAAACAGCTGGAGAAATTACCTTTTGACGCTAACACACAAAAACCTCTTTCAAGCAAAGAAGTTTGCTTCAGGAAGGATACCGTCAACACTCGTTGTGGTGATCAATTTAAGGGATCAATCAAAAAATTCATTATTAGTAGTTTACCAGTTTACTAGAAAAGTTTAGCAGGGAAGAAAATTTGAAATGGAGGTTTTTGGATCAATTGAAGCTCTTATGGGCTTATGTATTGGTCATTAGGTTAACATTACATCATTTTACTTCACATTACTTATTAATATCATTAGAGTTCATTCACAAATTTATTACAAAAAGAAAGAAAGAAAAACATAAGAAAAATTCAAAAATATAGGTATACAGGTTGGAAAATGGTTTTTAGGGTATGAATAATAAAGTTATGGGTATTATGAGGTTAGAATATGAAAGAAAAACATTATATTATACTTTAACAATTTTAATCTTGAAGGTTAATAAGAAGAAACAGAAGTTATTAGAGAAAAGGTCCTTTTTGAAGTTGGTAAACAAGGGGTATACGTGTAGTCTGCATATGTAGTGGTGGTAATAGTGAAATTTAAAGTTTCCAAGAGGATTTTCCGGGATTTTTGAGGTTATAGAGGATGATGTCATATTACATGAGCAAGAAAAAGAGAGTAGCAGTTGTGAAAAGTGAAGAAAATGGGTGAATTTTGTCAAAAATGAAGGTTTTCAGCTCATTACATATGTCAAATGACGTCAGATTAGGTTGGGAGATAGCTCATTCAGCGCAGCAGAGTGGATTACATAATGTGCGAACTTTAAATAAATAGTAGCAGAGGTTTATGTAAAAAGTTATAAGGCAAATAAGAAATTGGTGTGAATCTCAAATTTACAGTCACAAGTCAACATGTAACCCTAAAAACCTTAACTTCACAACTCAATATCTTACTCATCACTCATCAGAAATAGGTCCTATGGGGGTGATATATGATCAGTAACACGAGGGCTACAGGATGCACCTTAGTAATTAAAAATTGGACCTCATCTGAAAAAATTTGTAATCTCAAAATTTGGTTTTCAGCTAGTTTACAGGGAAAAAATCACCTGTATTCATCATAAGAAGTGCTGTACATCATATTATTGCGTCATTGACTACTTTTAGCTGTGAAAATTACATCATTTATTATTAACAAAATCATTACATTGCGTCATCATAGGGTTTTTTAGGGATTTCTGGCCGGATTTGATTGGTTTTGAGGCTGTTGACCATTGTAAAAGTTGGAGCACATTGTTATATATACTATGAGATGATTCTGGGAATGTTGTTCCCCTTTTTTCTTTATCATTTACACAGTTATTATTTTGTTTATCATCATAAACTGATTTTAATAGTACCTGGTCACTTAAATACACCCTTTATTATAGCTATAAAGGGTGTATTTACTTTAGTATTGCAGTCAAGAAGACTTATTGGGAATAATACCACAAAGATATTGCTTATTTTCTTTAGTTATCATTTGGGAATAACACTATAGCAGTGTTGATAGTAATAAAAATTGTGCTTTTGAAGTTAAAATACGTGTGAAAGTTATGTTTCTCTGGTGCCTTATCTGTACTCAATACAACAGCGCCTCTTTCTGATTGTGTTATTTTAGAAGAGCAGTCTCAGACAACTTCTACTAGTCATTATATTAGTAGATTATCCTCTTCCAGCTCTGTATAACCCTTGTTGGGTTATAAGTTCTGCATTGTCAACACATTGATCTCAGGGAACGGTAAGGTATGCTCAACTAACACAGAAAAGGCTTAAATTCTCTTTTCTAAAACATGTGTCGCAACAGCTCCATATTGCAATACAGACACAGACATCTTATCCTTCCCACTCCACAACAAATATTGACAAACAGAATCAATAATGCCCCTATTCTTTGATTACCTAACTGAAGAAAACATCCAAGCGGTCATATCCGACAGCCCCCCCCTAAATGCTCCAGGCGCTGATATGATTCAAAATTGGATGCGGAAACGAGTGTGGCCAAGGGTAAAAAAGCACGTCAGCAATCCCTGACGCGCAGCGCACTCCACTGCGCAAAAAATGCACTGCGAGGTGCCTCATCGCAGCGGGGTTGTCTGAAAACCCCACTGCGCCATTTGGCACCGCCGGGGCTTGGTGGTTTTCAAACCACTGCGCAAATTCACACCGCAGCCCAGCACAGTGTGCGCAGTGTGCGCAACACTGCGCGGCCCCGAGCAGATACCCTGCCTCTACTTCTACCAAAGCAAGGATACCACCCCTTGCATCCAAATCCAGCTGATATGACACAACCACTACGATTGGCTGCCGTCAATCCACCTATTCGACTCGACCCATCCTCGATCATCGCCATGGCCTTCCGATCAGGAACTTACAATCATCTGAGGCCATCCAATTGGTCGAACAATGGTGCCATAATGCTTCAAGTTCACGATTATTTTTGCAATCCCAGTTTCCACCTACCTTCTCTTTTTCCATTTGACCTATCTGAATCTTACAACAATTGTTATTCACACTATTACTACATCATCTTATTGCTATTCACATCAAATTCTCATAAGCCATCTTACAATAATTCTCACTACTACTGTATCTTATTACTATTCAAACCATTCAAATCTCATAGCTTCTTTTCTCTATATTTATACAAAATGAAGAGAAACATCACCAAATCAAGCTCATCCACCTCCAAGGCTAAAGCTCTGAAAACTTCTCAATCCACATCAACTACCAAGTCTTCCTCCACCTCCCAAAACGCTAGTACTAAGGGAAACTCAAAGAAGGTTATTGCAATCAATTTTGAACAAGGAGACGATCAAGAAAAAGATCCCAACTTTGTTACTGAAGACAAAGACGAAGATGGGGATGATCATTGGGAGGTTGAGATTGAAGAAAACTCTTTCGAAACCACTGTCGATCCTGCCAATGGGAAGCGCGCTCGAAAAGTCCCAGTCAAATCTTTGGCTGAAAAGAAACCCATTGGAGCTAAGCGTAAGAAACAGGTAAAATCACCTCTGTACATCGCCATGTTTCTATTCCTTTCTGATATCTTGTTTCTCTCTCTCTCCCAAGTTGAA